CAACGCATACTACACACTCACACACCTAAGGCTAACAAGCCAAAATGCAAGGTAGCTATACTAAGCATGTGATTGTTGACCAAAACAACCAAAAACAGAGCTTAAGCATGCTAAAATCAACACAAAAGCTTCACAAGGCTTGGCCAAAATCACGCTAGAACAAGGGTCTAAACCTAAAGCATGTCAAGGCAAAAGTATGGCATTACAAGACATGTATGCAAGGCATGCAAGATGTGTCCAAACCAACTGAAAACAGAGCTAATACAAGACAAAATACTACCAAATAACAGTAAAGGCATGGTCAACATGAACCTAAACTAGGTGCTCACACATGAGGCAAAAATGGCCCTTTTTTAGGACAACAAGGAGATGGGGTGGCCCTCTCCTTCCTAGGACCTCGAGGCACCATCCTTACCTCTGAAATCCCTCAAGATTTCAGTGGTGAGGAGGCCCAAACATAATGGTCCCGGAGCTCAACCAAAATGGCACCAAAAGTGGCCAAACAAGCCCAAAGAGGGGTCAAACAACCCCAAAGCTTAAAACACCCTTAACAAACTATTTAGAGCACTCAAAAATAGAACTTTTATATGTTATATGCTAAGCTCAAAAACAGTTGCAAGATAGGCTAAAAAAGCTTTGCAAGAATGGGGTAAAAAGGGACAAAAGTCTTACCCTTGTAGACCCTCTTCACAAACAATGTTCCAGCAACTCTTTTGGTTCCAAACCAGTCCAAAAGCTTCAAGGAAAGACCTCTGGTACCTCAGCCACTAAGAAAATGTGTGATGGTGGGTGTTTGTGCACAAAAGTAAGACTAAAACACACACACTAAACACAGGAGAGAGAAAGATATAGAGATAGAGGATATATGTAAACCCTAACCTTAAAACTCAAGCTCTAAAAAAAGTGTTGACCAAGTTGTCTCTCCTTTTTTTTCTCCTTCTCCTTCTTCTCCTCCCTTTTTTCCTCTTTTTTTTTTCAAGAGTTTGATTGATATATCTATATATCAATCTGCAGCTTCCTCAGAACACCCACGTCCAGGCATGGGCTGGGGTATAGCCGTGAATGACAGCTGTGCCAGCTGTCTGCAGAGATATCTGTTGAAAACCACACTTGGCCGGCCGGCCAACAAAGTGGCCGACCGGCAATCAAACTGGTCAACCGGCCATTACATTCGGCCGATGGTAACAAAACATAGCCGGTGGCTTCAAGCCACGGCCGGTGGAGTGTGGGGATGTCCCAAAAGCCATTCCCTGCCCTCCAAAGTAAAAACACAAGTGTTTGGTGCAAAACCAAACACAAAACAGTCGAGTTGAGAGATCCTGAGGCAAGGCGCGTAGCCGAGGCCTCTGGGAACTCAAGACGAACACAAACAAGGATGATCACCGAGTGTTCAAGCGGTGATGTCCAAGTCTTGAGGACGGTCAAAAATGGGGTGTCTACAGTTGCCCCTCTTTGACAGAACTCGAAAGTCATGACAATGACGAGAGTGAGTGTCAAAGCCCAGAGACGACCCATTTTTGACAAAGCCAAAGTCTTAGACAAGCATGCAAGACAATAAAGATATGCGCCCGAAGGCAGGGGCAAAATGCACCTGACAATGCAAGGAGCCGAACATAACTTATGATCATGCAAAGAAAGCTGTAATGAAGCATGACATGCGACAGTTTTAAGCTAGCATACACCAAACTACACTACAATGCAGAAAGGATGTAAGAGAATTATGTAATTCTCATTGCGTTTCACACGGAGAATACAGTACCTACGCGGTTCGTCTGGTTGCACCAGCCTCAAATGAACCGTACATACAATATCGTGCCTGCAAAGAAAGCAAACTTAACAGGTACAATATTGTTAGTAATGTGCACAACATGCAAAATGATATGCGATATATACAAAACTATGTATAATAATGCAAATGAAAATGCAATGCAATTGAATCATGATCAAATCATGAGCAGTTCAAAAACACACAAATGTCAAATAGATTAATGGAGATGCAAAGTCCGTCTACCATAGAAAAGGTGCCGCAACCCTCAAACCAACATACCAATGTAGAATAGGCGCGTACACGTGCAGAACTATGAGTGATGTAGATGGACACAAGAACAAGTAATTGGGTGGAATGACATAAGTGGGGAAATGACCCGCTAACGAAAGACCAATGATCCTAATGTTGGACGCAACGGCGCACGGGCCAAACCGCATCTTGCCTAGGAAAAGCATGTACACGTACAAGCCATGTCTAACACAGAAAAGGTGCCGCAACCCTCAAACCAACATATCAGCATGGAATAGGCGCGCACACATGCAGAACTATGCTTCGACATGAAAAGTATGGGCACATACGAGACCAAGCTTAACAAGGAAACGCGCAAGCCATAGATGGAAGTGATGTAGGGAATGCACGCAAGCTACAATGCAATATCTACAATATGCAGTGGAATGGGCGTAAATGCAATATTTGCAGTAAGATGCATGACATATGCATTATTTACAGTGGTATGCATGACATATGCACTATTTACAATGAATGCATGACATATGCACTATTTACAATGATGCATGACATATGCACTATTTTTGTTTTTGAAATGCAAATGCATGATGATGCATGATTTGGGAATGCGCGACAACGCGCGGCCTTTGAGATGCATGACAATGCATGTTGATGCAAGTGCGTGGCAACGCACGTCTTATGACAATGCATGTGAACCCAAATACGCAACCATGCGCGCCATTTGAAACGCATGACAATGCAACCGAACGGGTTTAAGGTCTCTCCAGTCCGGGCAAGTGCGTGAATTTTGTTATTTCGAACGCATGATTATGCATGATTTCGAAATGCGCGACAACGCGCGGCTTTTGAGATGTATGAAAATGCATGTTGACGCAAGTGCGTGACAACACACGTCTTTTGATATGCATGACAATGCATGTGAACCCAAATGCGCAACCACGTGCATTGTTTGAAATGCACGTGAACTTGAATATGTGACGACGCAAGTTGCTTGGAGTGCATGGTAATGCGACTTACCAAAAGTCGTTCGGGCACGACAAACGCCGAAGGGCTTACACCTTCAGAGGATTTAAGGTCTCCTAGACCGAGCGTATTTAAGGTCTCGCCAGACCGTGGATGCATGCAAAATGTAATGAGATGTGCATAACAGCGCGATGCGTTAGACAATGCGAGTGCACAAGACAGTGCGATGCGCGAGATAGCGCGACAGAATGCATGCCAAATGCAATGAAATGCGCAAAACAGCGCGATGCGTTTAGACAATGCGATGCATTTAGACAACGCGAGTGCACAAGACAGTGCGATTGAAATGTGATGCACAAGACAGTATGATTGAGATGCGCATGGGGGCAACTTTCGAGTTTTGTAAATGACAAAAGGATACGTAAAGGATACACCTTGCACGAATTCGAGTGCCACGCACAGAAGACACGGTCCGAGGTCAAAACGGAGGCCGGTTGAGCTTCGGAAATGCCTTTTCTCGTACTATCTTGAGCAATGAAGATCCCAAACTACAGATCTGACCCAAACAAGGCTGTAGGAGGCTCACCGGCTGGAAGAGGAAGCCACTGGCCATCCATCGGCCGAAAAAACACATAACCGGCCAAATATTTGGCCAACCGGCCAAAATTGTAGCCGACCGGCCAAAAATGCCTGAATCGGGACAGTTTTGTCTTTTTGGCTCGGGTTTTATAAAATAGGGCTTCTAGCCCTATTCTTTTCACTTTCTTGTGGCCGAAATTCCTTCCTCTCTCTTCCTAGAGTATTTTCTTCTCTTTATTTCCTCGTTTTCCTTGATTTTCGCGCCCTTTTCGACGTTTGATTCGCGAAGTTCATCGCGTTTCGAACACTTTCATCCGATCGAAACTTCGTTTCGGTGTAGTTTTTTCAATTTCCGCCTCTTAGGGTTTGTTTCCCCCATGTTTTTCTTGATTTTCGTATATTTTCCACATTCCGGCTTTTTCGGCCATTTTTCGCCCTCCCGGGGTTGACTTTTCGGTTGACCTTTCATATTCTAGGCCGATTTTCTCTCTTCCGACCATTTTCACACCACCTTTGACATGGCCGACGATATTCCACAGGGCGGGACTCCCCCGGACCACGAGATGGACCTCGGGGCCGAGCTGCTCCCCTTGAGCGTCCGCTCGTTCGACCCGACGACCTACCAGCCGACGATTCACATCCTGCCTCCTGATGGACTGCGCCAATTCAGGAGTTTCGAGAGGGGCATGCCTCCAGAGTTTCTCTTGCGCGAGCCTACATCTCATTTGTCCTTCAGCGCTTTCGAGGTAACATTCTTCCCTCTGCCTTACTTTCCGCAATATAGAACACTTAGCTACCATAACTGATTATGCTCTTTAATTGCTTAGCCCAAATGCACTGAGGCACTGTACACTGTAATCGACCGTGAACACACTTGCAACTGATATCTGTTTGAATCTGAACGCGCGCACACACACTGCACTTACCCTGAACCACTCAAACACACTGACACATCAGTCACTGTAGTTCATTACGAGCACACCGGCACCCGATATCTGTTTGAATCTGGAAAACGTGCACACATGCTATATCTGTACTGAACCATATAAACATACTGACACATCACATGTTGTAGTTCACTGCCAAATCTAAATGCTTTTCAAAACTATACTTGAGCATTTCTTTGCCATTGTCTGCTTGAAAATAGGGAGATTCCCATACCGTCCGGGGGTATGGGAACATCGCCGCTCGCGATTGGTACGCCGAGCTACCTGATGCGGTCCGCCACATCGTGGACCAGGCCGGTTTTGGTGCATTTTGTAGAGGGCTTTCCAGACTGACGACGAGCAGGCCTCTCCTTGCCGCTCTAACAGAGAGATGGTGGGACACCACCGACTCGTTCCACCTCTCCACTGTGGGAGACATGACGATGACTCCCTACGATTTCTCGATGCTCATAGGCATCGGGGTAGGGGGTGATCCGATCCCCTTTGATATTGATATGGACGAGTGGACGGCTGCTCAGATCCATCTGCTCGGCGAGGTGCCGCCTCTTGCGCGTCTTGGCTTCGTCCGATATTCATGGTTTGAGGTCCAGTTCAGGGTCCAGCCGGCTTTGACCGAGGAGGCTCTGATGACCCAGGAGGCAGTGGAGCAGTACGCCCGCAGCTTTCTAATGTTTCTGCTGGGGACTACCATTTTCGCCGACCGGGCGAACACTGTACCCCTCTGCCTACTTAGTGCACTTGTGGATCTCAGGCAAATCTTGCACTACGAGTGGGGTGGTGCCGCTCTGGCCACCCTCTACGGGTACATGACCTCAGCTTCCCGCGGCAGTGGACAGTTGCTCGGGGGCTATTGGCGCGCTTGGGAGGTACATTTCCTTTTTCTTCTTCACATTTCATTTCTGCTTTCTATCATCTATACTCTGTACTGTACTCTGTACACTGCACACACTGTGGTCTGCTTTATACTGACTGTATACTGTACACACGACACACACATACTCTGCTTTAAACCGACTGTACACTGCTCACACTGTACACTCTGCTCAATACACTGCACACGGCTCTGCTATTTCTGTTTTATTCTGCGTCCTGCTTTATCTGATGATCATATTGGTATTTGGTTTGCAGTTGTGGGTCTACGCTTACTTTCCCAGGTTAGCCCCAGTACCCGACGCGGAGACCTCTCTCGTCGTCTCGTTCTCACGCCGTTTCGACGGGAGGTGCGTGCGGAGGCCCCGGGAGACGTTTAGCTTCTTTCGCCGCTATTTTGACACCATCACTTCCACAGAGGTATGTTTTACTTGCAGTTCATTTAAGCTTTGCTTCGCACTGTATTGTCAACAATAGTAGATAACAATCTGTATTTCATTTTCAGATCACCTGGCAGCCTTGGGCTCCTCTGCTAACCGTGACTCGGGATCGATTTGCCGGTGCATAGGAGACTGCACGTTTTTGGATCTTGCTGGAGGGCCCGATTTGTCGGACTTGGTACCTGGGCATGCATTTCCTATGCCAGACCCTGGGGTTACCAGAGCAGATAGTCCCGGGTCCCCCTCCTACCCACATGCGGGATACCGAGAGATTCACCTCCCAGGAGATGGCCATTTACACGATCGGCTGGGACGCGGAGAGCTTCAGGGGCGAGGGCGACTACAGAGAGTATATACAGATGTACATTATGCGGCCTCTGAGTGGCGGCCGTCGAGTCGATGGGAGAGAGGCCCGCAGCGCCGGCAGCTAGGGCAAGAGCGGGGGCTGGGGCAGGATCATCGAGGAGAGCTCGGGTCCGCGGCAGAGGTGGAGTTCAGAGAGGGTGGGGGGGTGGCTGGCCTGCACTGCCCACTTTACTGTCATACAGAGGGCAGAGTGGGGCGACCTACCAGATCTCCTTTGCTCCTCTTCCGGCTGACCACGAGTTGGTCGATTTCCATGACTTGCCTCCGGTATGTATTACTACATTTTATGCATCTTGTATTGGCATTTCATTTCAGTTTATTTGATATTCCGCAGAATACTGATGCATCTGATACTTTTGCAGGCTTCTTTTGAGTATACCCGGCAGTCCTTGGAGCTGAATGCCTCCATGATGGGGATGTTGCAGCGGACTTTCGACCTCCTGGCCCTCTATAGTATTCCGGTATGTTCTTCTGATCACGGTCTCAGACCATACACATAAACTGTTTCACATATCTGACACACAACACAATATTGGATACACTGCTCACGGCATTCATACACTGTACTCATACATTGCATTCTGCACTGATATACTGCCCACAATATTCACACACTGTACTCATACATTGCATTCTGCACTGATAAACTGCTCACAGTATTCACACACTGTACTCATACATTGCATTCTGCGCTGATAAACTGCTCACAGTATTCACACACTGTACTCATACACTGCATTCTGCGCTGATAAACTGCTCACAGTATTCACACACTGTACTCATACATTGCATTCTGTAGCGTACTGATGCATTTGCCGTTTGTGCTTTTCAGCCTCCCTTCCAGATCCCTACCGTAGGAGGTGCTCCAGCTGGACCCCTGTTCCTGCCGGAGGAGATGGCAGAGTATACCCCCGCACCAAGGCGGGGCGCACCCATGTTGGAAGTAGCTCGCGGGCTCCAGTTCCTGATGGTGATGACGAGGAGTCGGAGGCGGAGGCGGAGGCAGAGTCGTCGTCGGAGGAGACCGGAGACGGCTCGGACTCGGGCTCAGATGACAGCGCTGATGATGCTCCTGGACCTTCGTCCAGGAAGAGGACTAGGATGGACTCCCAGGCCTGAGATCCTTTAATTCAGATTTTTGCTGCTTTTCTTCTTTTTATTATTTTTTGTATTTTCTTCTTTTGCTGGTAGCTAGAGTACTTTGTACTGCCGCAGGTAGATTTTGTTTTTCTCCGAAATTTTGTACTTGAAAAGATGATGAAATAAAGTAAACTTTTTATCTGAAAAAGTGTTATATTTGTACATTTCATACTCTGCATCGCATTGCATCATATTACACCTCAATGTAAATGGGATTGATCTCCTGTCTGAAAACCAAACACTTGCATTGTAATAATCAGATAACGAACCAGCCAATCAGCGAAATAACCCATATAAACCACTACTCAGTCCGAACACTCGGCTCACACTCTACTGGGGATATACAGCCCATAACACAGCGCTTGGTTCATTTTGCACACAGCGGATCCTGAACAATCAGCCCAAATCTGACAAGACGGACTATGAAGGTTGAATCTACTTAAGTCGAAACACACTCAGATGCCCCAAATTGTCCCCTTCTCTTTTTGCTTCTCATAAATGTAGAGAATGGCACAGCACTCTAAGCACAGACGATTCAAAAAAAAAAGGTTTTCGACCAGGTGTTGAGCCTACGACCAAACACAGCGAAAATGATTTAACAAAAGGTACACAACCTAAGCATATCGAGTAACACTCGAAAAAGACTCAAAACAAAAGTTGAGGTAAATAAAACAAAAAGACACAACACACAGATGCGTTACAAAAAGGAAATGAGAAACCTCAGAAGTCGCGAGGAGCCAGTTTCTTCGGGTATTTCTTCCCACCCTTTCTGATTTGTGATTCTCACATCACTCGGCCCTCAGGTTCGGTTTTTCTCTCAAAACCATTTTGCTCACTTTTTTCTCAGCGCACACCTCTCTATTCTTTACTCTCTCATTTTTCATCCCTCCCCAGGTGTGGTTGATGGACAAGTTGCAGGTTGTGGACTCTTGCCCAGCATACTCAGCCCGCGGCTACTTCCTTCGGTGACATCTCATCGGTGCCCCGGATAAGAGAGTGGGGTATTTTGATCCATCCCAACTTGTGCTTCGCACTTGGCTTGATACCTTGTTGCTTGGTGGATGTTGAGAGCTTTCAGGCCATTTGTTGTTAACCTCAGTTATACCTTCGTTGGCAGGTAGAGTGCCCTTCTGACAAGTATGTTGACGACGGGGGGAAGACAGAACACCTGACTCGACTGTGCCCCTATTTCATTATTTTGACCATTTTTGGTTTTGGTTTTCTAATAATTTTGACCAAAATGAGAGTCGGATTAACATACTTGTTCGCTTTTTGATTAGAGAATCACACAAGTTAGGCTGTGAGCACTGAAAATTTTCCCTTTTGGGTCCCAGAAAAGGTCCGGTTTTGAAAAATGAAATAACTTTCGAAAAAAAATAGTCAACCTCAGTAAAAATTTTCAAAAACCATTTTTGCAAACGGCCGGTGCTAAACGAGCACCGAACTTACCCTCGAGATGCGCAACCTCGGATCGAAGGCAATGAAAAATTGCCCCTGGCTTGGAAGGGGTGGATGGCAACAGAAAGTTGCCCCTAGTTTAAAAGGTGACTCGTGGCAACCCATGGCAATGGAAAGTTGCCCCTTGTTTGGATGACGCCGTAGCATTTGGAAAACAGTCTTCGTTAGTGATGATTGCAACTGAACTCTCGGAGACGGAGAAGGCGAAGATGGTCAAAACCAATATATGGACACAGTCACTTTGAAAGCATCAGTGGCTGGATTTCAAGGCGAAGTTCCTAGATATCCCGAACGTGGGAATCAAAGATTATCAAAACCATTACATGGACTCGGTCGCTATGAAAGCGTTGGGGGCTGGACTTCAGGATGAAGTTGCCTACGTATCCTAATCATGGGAATCAAGCCTTACGTAGTTCCGGTTAAGGTGCACTCGGGTATTAACCTTCACTTTTTAGGCTCTAACTTTTGCCAAGGCGCCCGTTGCGGGTTTTCGACCTTGCGAGCATCGTTTTTCTTCTTTTCAATTTTTGTGTTCTTTTCTTTTCTTTTCATTTCTTTTTTGATTTTCTTTTTTTGTTCTTTCCTTTGCATCTTTCTTTTTTGTTCTTTTGTTCTTTTTTCTTTTTTGTTCTTTTTCTTCTTTTCTTGCTCTAACTTTTGCATGGGCCGCCCTTCCGGGTTTTCGGCCCAGTGAGCCTCTCAAGGGTAAAAGTATAGCTGTGTCCATGCCAAATGGTTTTAGGGTTTTGAAGCCATCCGTATCCAGGACAGTGGCTGTTGCATTGACTTACTGAAGGACCCATCTTCGGCTCTTCGAGCAAATCGGACATTTTTGCCCCTAGTTTGGAGGGGTGCTTCTGTTCTAGCTTTACAGGCTTCTTCTGATGAGATCTGATCTTCTTGATCTGACTTTGGTGCCTCTTGTTCGAGGGCTGCTCCCAATCTGGCCACACAGGCCTCTCTTGATGGTCGATCGTTTGAACACTCCGAATTGTGGTTCAAGGCTTTAAAACAAGGGCTCGAGTCTTGAGGCTGAGAGCGATCCTAAGCTACACAATCTCAAGAGTGATTCCGCACAGGTCTTCGCAGGACCACGCAAAACATTTTGTTTTTGAAAGTTTTTAAAGAAGCCACAAATCACTCGCGCTGAAGATAGTGTGGAACCAGTCTGGATCAAGCCAGGGTCCTTTTCAGTACTCACGCTGACAAGCATGATTTCAATCATTAAGGGCTTAGCACGCCTCTCTTTCTCTCAATTTGATCAAAGTTTGCAAAACCCGAGGAATTCCTTCCTCTTTATTTTCACCGCAGTGTTCAAAAAGTTTTGAAAAACTTAGGTCAATGCAATGATTCTGAGGGCACAAGAGATCAGGTGGAATGTACTGCCGTTCCATTCAAATCCTCTAGCACAACTAGCTCAAAATAGCAATAAGCATGGGAATATGATAGCCGCAGCTGTTTCATTCAGATTTCTTGGTTGCAACTGGCTCTACGACAGAGACAGACTCAAAAGAAAGCAAAAGGGGTAATTACAAAACAAAACAGTGTTCAAGGCAACAGCTCCGGAATCACCCGACATTCTATACAAAGGGGACTGACTCGCTACAACAAGACAGACCCATAAGCAAAAGGACTGACTCAAGATAGACTCAAAATAAAACAAAAGACTGACTCAACACCCAAGCCAGAATTTACAAAACTAGCATTCGCAGATGCTCCAAAAATGCGTGCTAGACGCCATATCCAAAATACGCCAAGCACCGCCTGCAGGTGGTCCAACCCCTGATCACAAATTTGTAGTATCCTCGAAGTCTAATAGTTCAGTGGTAACAGACTTTGCTGAGGTAGGCGGGAGGATGACCTCATTGTCGATCAAATCT